ACACACACACACACACACACACACACACACACACACACACACACACACATATATATATATATATATTACATACATACATTTATATATCGTTGTATCATAGATTGAGTACAAAGCCTTGAGACAGTCGCGTACATATCAGGCGTAGATGTACGCTGGCACTATGCACTACTACATAGTGACACGTATACCTCTGATAACGTGCATACATCTCACTCACACATCGCCAACAACACGCAAAGAGCTGAGTGAATAGCTGGCCTCTGAAGGTACAACGGAACATTGCATTCTGCAGGGCTTAGAGAGGCTTTTTGTAAGAGATACGAGTTGATCTATTGCCTGCAATAAAAGTCATATATACACATGCACCTGCTGTAACCCACACTACACGCGCATACACGGCTCATACATCGCCTGCAACGGAAACCTGTCTTACATACGCACATATATCTCACCCAGCCATCAATTACAAACACATACTACAATACCCTACATTCACGTGCACACACACATCTTACTCATTCATTCCACCTCTTTAAATCACCTGCTACACTCACACTCACCCACCCACCCACACCCCACCCCTCTCTCCACCCCACACAGCTAAGCGACGTCCTGGCCTCTGAAGCGTCCGTGGAACAGTCTATCCTGCAAGGGTTTGAAGAGCTGTCCTACAAGACCCGTGTGGCTTTGGGTAAAGACGACGAGAAGAGTGCGTGGGATGCCATCTTCAATGCCTGGGCCGAGCGGGTGTTTGCCTATGTGTTTGAACGTCTCGAGTTAACGTTAGTGAACCTGCACGTACGGTTTGAGGATGATATCAGCGGTGCTGCGGCGTATGCGGCGGGTGTGACTTTAGAGCGCCTGGAGATCAAGAGTGCCACCGACCAGTGGAGTTATTCGCCGTTTGTGGACCTGACCGAAAGCCCGTATATCCGCAAGGTGGGTGCAGGGTTTCAGGGCTTCAAAGGGGTTCTTTTGAGCTTATGATGTAGGGTTTCTGGGTTCAGGTTAGGGTTTTTTGGGGCTTGGGTTAGGGGCTGTGCCGTTCGGGGTGGGGTATGTGAGTGGTGGGTATGGTTGATAGTATGTTGTGTGTGGTGTATGTGAGTGGTGGGTATGGCTGATAGTATGTTTGTGTGTGGTGTATGTGAGAGGTAGGTATGGTTGATAATATGTTGTGTGTGGTGTATGTGAGTGGTGGGTATGGTTGATAGTATGTTGTGTGTGGTGTATGTGAGTGGTGGGTATGGTTGATAGTATGTTGTGTGTGATGTATGTGGCTGGTGGGTTTGGCTGATAGTATGCTGTGTGTGGTGTGTGTGTGTGTGGAGGTTCCTTGTTCTAGTACGTCTGACCGTGTAGTGTATATCTGTGTGTTTGATGGACTGATTGTCCTGATGTCTTCCTCTACGAGGCCTAGTCAGTCTGTGCGGTGAGTAGTATTTTGTCAAGGTCCTTAATTCAGGTGTATATTAAAAATAAATGAATATCTTAAA